ACACACACACACACACACACACACACACACACACACACACACACACACACACACACACACACACACACACACACACACACACACACACACACACACACACACACACACACACACACACACACACACACACACACACACACACACACACACACACACACACACACACACACACACACACACACACACACACACACACACACACACACACACACACACACACACACACACACACACACACACACACACACACACACACACACACACACACACACACACACACACACACACACACACACACACACACACACACACACACACACACACACACACACACACACACACACACACACACACACACACACACACACACACACACACACACACACACACACACACACACACACACACACACACACACACACACACACACACACACACACACACACACACACACACACACACACACACACACACACACACACACACACACACACACACACACACACACACACACACACACACACACACACACACACACACACACACACACACACACACACACACACACACACACACACACACACACACACACACACACACACACACACACACACACACACACACACACACACACACACACACACACACACACACACACACACACACACACACACACACACACACACACACACACACACACACACACACACACACACACACACACACACACACACACACACACACACACACACACACACACACACACACACACACACACACACACACACACACACACACACACACACACACACACACACACACACACACACACACACACACACACACACACACACACACACACACACACACACACACACACACACACACACACACACACACACACACACACACACACACACACACACACACACACACACACACACACACACACACACACACACACACACACACACACACACACACACACACACACACACACACACACACACACACACACACACACACACACACACACACACACACACACACACACACACACACACACACACACACACACACACACACACACACACACACACACACACACACACACACACACACACACACACACACACACACACACACACACACACACACACACACACACACACACACACACACACACACACACACACACACACACACACACACACACACACACACACACACACACACACACACACACACACACACACACACACACACACACACACACACACACACACACACACACACACACACACACACACACACACACACACACACACACACACACACACACACACACACACACACACACACACACACACACACACACACACACACACACACACACACACACACACACACACACACACACACACACACACACACACACACACACACACACACACACACACACACACACACACACACACACACACACACACACACACACACACACACACACACACACACACACACACACACACACACACACACACACACACACACACACACACACACACACACACACACACACACACACACACACACACACACACACACACACACACACACACACACACACACACACACACACACACACACACACACACACACACACACACACACACACACACACACACACACACACACACACACACACACACACACACACACACACACACACACACACACACACACACACACACACACACACACACACACACACACACACACACACACACACACACACACACACACACACACACACACACACACACATGGACGCAGCTGGCTCAACGACCTGAACGCGAACGACGGTGGCTACGACTTCCGCTTCAACGACACGCCGCTCAGGAACGTGTCGGGCATCTATTCGAACGTAAGGATCTGTTCGTTTTGTCGACTGATCGAATTACTTGTTAGTCAAGTGTCTGCTAACGTAGGTTTTCACTGAGAAATATTGAAATAATCTTTTTGTCTAACTATATTAAAATTTCTATTTACCTAATGATCTATCTGCATATCTACTTACCTACCACCCTACATGCCTATCTACCTATCTACTCTACCTACCTCCCTCCCTACCTACCTCTCCAACAAACCAACCTACATACCACTCTACCAACCTACCCACCTGCCTACTTACCTTCCTCCCTACCTACCTCTCCAACCAACCAACCTACATACTACTCTACCAACGTACCTACTTACCTCCTTACCTACCTACCTCTCCAACCATCTCACACACGCACCACGTCTCCTCCCCAACACCAGAACCTGTACGCAGTTCGTGCCAGGGACATCATAAGAGACCACGCAGCTCAAGCAAGCAAAGACAACCCCTTGTTCCTCATGCTTTCCCTACAATCAGTCCACGGTCCCGTCGATGTCCCCCTCGACTACAGACGGCAGCACAGGAACATCAAGAACTTAGCCAGGAGAACCTTCCATGGTGAGTATCTTGGGATTTGAGTGATGTTGGCGTAGATTACAGTGTTTGCAAGGATGTATTGGGATGTTTTTTAAAGGGATTGTTTAACATGGAAGAGGGACGTACGTACTGTTTGATTCTCAGGGCGTGGACGGGAAGTGTACTCAAACTATTACCGTTTTTCTGGGCATCGACTCTTTCATCGTTCTTGATCATACCGCATGTCCAGAGAAAGCACTCGAGGTCCTTGACGTTCGCTGCCGTGAAGTGCCCAGGAAATACAATGGATTTTTTGCTTTCTTTATCATGGAACTTATACAGGGTATAAATCACAGTTGGTTGTCATGGAATCTTCAAGAAATGCATTGGTTTCTAGACTTTCTATATTTATCAAGGGAAATGGTACAAGGTTTGCATTAAGATTTTATTTTGATTATTGCGGAGTGTCCAAGCACTGTAGTGAACCCTTACTGTGCTTTAACTGGACGCTTGTTATAGGTATCGAGTGATTTAACGATTCTTGTTTTAATGTCCAGATCTACCTCTGGGAATCCTTGACACTGATTACTTTGGAGTGTCCATGCAATGATAGACTCTCGACTAAATACTTTCCGTGGAGTGTCTCTACTGTTGATAATTGTTATTTTTTCCATTTTCTTACCACGTACTTCGTCTTCATCACATAACGCTCCACAGGGAAAGTTTTAGGACCATTCAGCTTTGTTTATCTCTGAAATACCATATATATATATATATATATATATATATATATATATATATATATATATATATATATAATTATATATTATGTTAAAAAAGTATTGTGACCTTGGGGCGAGATTGGTTGAAGTTCTAAGGAAATAATTATTCCATATAAGTTTCGAAATAAGTTAGGGAGGAAAGTATCGACTTTCTTTTTTTCTTCTTTGTTCAAAAGTATTATTGGTTTTCATTTTATGAATTCCGGAACTGTATATGAGCCAAATTTTACCTATATTATTCATTCATTTATTATTATTATTATTGTTGTTGTTGTTGTTGATGTTGTTATTATTATTATTGTTATTATAATTATCATCATTATTATTATTGTTATTATTGTTGTTGTTGCTTCACTATTAATAAGAAACAACGGTTGTAAAACCTTTATTGCTGATAAGATTCAACCTGAAATACATTATTCATTAACACTATTAAATAATTATGTCACCCCTCTTAATACAGAGAATAACCAAAACCTAACAAAATCCTTAAAGTCAATTCGCTGTTCAAGAAATGTAATAATACACTCAGTACCTGAAATATTCAAATTAGGTAAATTCAAAACCTCAACATCATGGTTCATAAGAAATGCAACATATTTCATAAAATGAAAATGACCAAGAACTTACTAAACTTACGTAATGCCATCTCCACATGACCACTGGTGACATGCTGGCGTTCCAGATCATGTCAAATCCAACACAAATATCCATAAATCTGATTCTTCACAAATTTCCTATACTATCACAATTTCTCATCAAAAAGGCATGACTCTGGACGGCGCTAACAGTGTCCAACAACGGCAAAGGGATACTTCATATAACAGACCTCTTTACATTAATAATCCCTGGGTACACTTAAAGTATTAAAAATATATCATATTTCTCACCAATAACATAATATTTTTGATACATTGTACTTATTGAAATAGCAACTTTAATACAGTTATTAATATTGTTATCAGTATCACTACTATTATTATTATTTTCATTGTTATTAAACATTATATTACTATCAATTTTTACCATTATCCTAATTATTATCAACACCATCATCACCATCACTGTATCATCATCATCACTGCTTCATTATCGTGATCATCATAATCATCAAAATCACAATTTCTTCGTTCGATTTCTGCCAGGCTCCTTTTCCTAGTCATCCTACCCACGTTATGAGACTGGTTTACCTTAAAGCCTTTCTGAAAAATTTTCGAAGCTTTATTGAAGCAGTTTTATGTCATTTCTTGTCCACAAATCGCCACGACTCTGGCTAAGGCGATCAATGTGAGATTAGAGAGATCGAGACACACTGGCCAATCATTCTGACGATTTATGCATTTGTGGGTTAAATAAGAAAAGAAAAGAAAAAAAAAAATCGAAATCCGTTGAAATTGCCACGGTCATCTTTCCAATCTTCATTATCATTTCGCGTAATGAATATGATGTTCTAAATCTATTTTTTCTTAAATTATTTCAATGTCATTATGGAACATCGCTTTGGGCGGTACGAAAACTGTGATTATATTTCATATCTCTGTATTCGCTTTAATCAAGACATGACGTAGTGAAACCGTTGTGATCGAACCACCAAGTTAAATCATAAAAAACGGGAGTCTTTAAAACGCCAACGATATCCCATTTTCTATGAACGACCGTGAATATGCAAAGAAAACGCGGATATTACGGCCGTGAGATGATATCCAGGCAAGAATTAAATGTTTTTGATGACGCTAGACTGAAAACAAACAAATACCTTTGAGCGAGAGAGAGAGAGAGAGAGAGAGAGAGAGAGAGAGAGAGAGAGAGAGAGAGAGAGAGAGAGAGAGAGAGAGAGAGAGAGAGAGAGAGAGAGAGAGAGAGAGACGTGTAGACAACTTTAGGCATGAATAATTTCACTGAAACTGGTGAGACGACGGTGCCAAAAATAGAAGATTAAATCCGTAACTGGCAGCTTTTCCAGCGAAGCCTTAAAATCGGTATCAAAGTCTTTGTCTCTTATTTCCTTGCAGATTCCTCACATGATTTTATTTTGATCTCGACTTTGTTACCATGGTGTGATCTTTTATCTTTCAATGTAGGTTCTGTGTGAATCTAATTTAGCTTCTCTGACGAACATCCTCTCAATGATTCTTTCCTGCTCTTTCTCTGTTTGTCTTTCTGTCTGTGTGTCTCCTCTGTCTCTGTCTGTCTCCTGTCTGTCTGTCTCTCTCTCTCTTTCTTTCTGCCCCCTCCCCTCCTCTTTCTTCCCTTCTTCCTTCCTTCCCCATCTATTCCTCTCTCCCTCCCTCTCTCCTTTCTCTCCCACCCTCCCTTCGTCATCCCTTCTCTCTCTCTCTCTCTCTCCCTCTCACTCTCTTTCCCTCCCTCCCTCTCTTTCTCTTCCTCTCTCTCTCTGCTTCTCCTTCTCCCACCCTCCCTCCACCATTCCATCCCTCCTACCTGCTCCCTCCCTCCCTCTCCCTCCAGCACACAGAGCCGAACCTCCAAAGCATTGAATAAGAAGAGACGGTTTTAGGTCAGCATGCAAACTGGATAGAATGTGATGAAGGAACGAAACAACGTAATTTTTTTTTTGTTCTCCGGAATAGTATTCGATGCGTTAGCGAATTTGCATATGACTATCAAAGGGGTATTGGTGCTGTATATATTGTTTTTATCTGTCGTGTTCCTTTCCTAAATTGCAGTGCCACGCCCCTACAGGATGGATAATATTTGCATTCGGCGTAAGAGTGAAAAGGGAAATATGTAAACGCTTGGGGATAATGGTGATCGATTTGCTGATCTCTCTTTCTCTTTCTCTTTCTTTCTCTCGTTCTCTCTCTCTCTCTCTCTCTCTCTCTCTCTCTCTCTCTCTCTCTCTCTCTCACACACACACACACACACACACACACACACACACACACACAACGACATCTTCAGAAAAGAAACTACAAAAGTGATATTTTTATCACACACACACCATATATATCTCCCTCTATATATGTAATGATAATAAACTCATGAAAGTTAATATCAAGTTCAGCAAAATAAAAAAAGAGAAAAGGAAAAATAAGGGTTCCAAATTTTCCTTCAACAACAACAACAAAAAAAAAAACGCCATAAATAACAAAAAATTAAACCTTACTCTTCCTCCCTCCCTCTCTCCCTTTCTCCCCCTCTCCCTCCCTCCCTTCCTCCCCCTCCCCTTCCCTCCCTCCCTTTATTTTTTCCAACCAACAATATGTCCTTCGTATAATCTCCAAGGGGCAGGGAAACCCCATCGCTATACATGAAAAGCAGCAGAAGGAGAGGGAGAGAGAGAGCGAGAGAGGGAGAGAGGGAGAGAGGGAGAGAGAGAGAGAGAGAGAGAGGGAGAGAGAGCGAGAGAGAGAGAGAGAGGGAGAGAGAGAGAGAGAGAGAGAGAGGAGAGAGAGAGAGAGAGAGAGAGAGAGAGAGGGAGAGAGAGAGAGAGAGAGAGAGAGTGAGAGAGAGAGAGAGAGAGAGAGAGAGAGAGAGGGAGAGAGGGAGAGAGAGAGAGAGAGAGAGAGAGAGAGAGAGAGAGAGAGAGAGAGAGAGAGAGCGAGAGAGAGAGAGGGAGAGAGAGGGAGAGAGAGCGAGCGAGCGAGAGAGAGAGAGCGAGAGAGAGAGAGAGAGAGAGAGCGAGAGAGAGAGAGAGAGAGAGAGCGAGAGAGAGAGAGAGAGAGAGAGAGAGAGAGAGAGAGAGAGAGAGCAGAGAGAGAGAGAGAGAGAGAGAGAGAGAGAGAGAGCGAGCGAGCGAGCGAGCGAGCGAGAGAGAGAGAGAATGAGAGAGAGAGAGAGAGAGAGAGAGAGAGAGAGAGGGGGAGAGAGAGCGAGAGAGAGAGAGAGCGAGAGAAAGAGAGAGCGAGGGACAAGGTTGCCGGAAATCGCCCCTTGCACGGTGTTGCAAATTCCTGTTGATCAGTTCGCTGAACCGGAATTCCATTTTGCTGTTTTTCGCTTGAGGGGTTGAGTAGGGAGGCGGGTGGAGGGGGGGGGGGGGGGTAGGTCATTATGAATGTTATTTTATTTATCTATTTTTTTTTTTTTTGTAGGTTTGTGGAAATTGGTTTATATATCCATTATATATAAAAAAATATATATGTATGTGTGTGTATGTGCACTTATTTCTTTTTCTCTCTCTTCATCTACCTACTTACCTACCAACTTAACTATCTACCTATTTATCTATCTATCCATGTACCTACCTGTCTATTTATCTACCTACTAACCTACCTACTTACCCACCCACCCACCTAC